GTGCCTGTATGTCTGTGTCTATATGTCAGGTTGGGTGTCAGGCGCCACCTCTCTGGGGACATCTCAGGCCCTCCAAGGTTTGGAGGCCTATCTCCCCCTACCACCACTTCCCCTGCCAGTGGCGGACCCCCTCAGACATCGGTGCGTTGGTGGTTCTTTGTGTCCGGGGATGGGCGTCCAGGTACACACCGGCTCACTCCTTGGCGGCCGCTTATCGGGGCCTGGAGCCTGGGGCTCGCTCGGGCCACTTCGGAGGTGGGGTGCCCCCGGCCTCTCGGCCTGGGGCTCGGTCACTCAGGCGCAGCTGGCTGCCGCGGAGCTCACGGGCGCGTCACTGCAACTCCCCCTGGCTTCTGCTCCGCGGCTGCTGAGTGAGCCCTCATCTGGGACTCTCCTCAGCTCTTTCCGGGACAGTGGCGCAGCTGCCCCTCTGTTGGTCTTCCTTGGTCTCTTGTGTTCTGGGGGCCTCTGGATGTCTGGAGTTTTGATCTCCTCCACACCTGCTTCACGCCCTGGAGGACGGGGCTGTGGCCCCCCCACACCCTCTAGCAGATTATTACATGAAGGAACCTTTTAAAAAACAAAAAACAAGCGCGTCCATGCTCACAGGTGTACACACGGGTGATCACACCCACAAACTACACCCTTTTTGGCTCCTACCTCAAAGCACACTGTGTTCTGTTGATCTTATGTGCTGCACAATAATGTTTAACATTTAGTATTTACTGTCATATTCCCATATATCATTGTGATGTTGTTTATTCTATTACTCTTGTTCTCTTCTGCTTGCTTTCTTTTTTCTTTCTCAGCAGGTGATCCAGGTGATTGATATATGCATTTTTTTTTTCTCTGCCCGTTCTGTTGGTTTTTGTCATTTGCCCTTCTCCCCCGTCCCTCTTCTCAGCTGTTTCCCTTTCCCTCTTTCTTTCTCCCCTTCTTTCCCCCAGTCAAGTCTGTCCCGTATTCAGTAAGTGAAAATAAAATAAACAATAAAAGGTGAATCAAATGGACCATTACGGCAAGGCTGGGATGGTCAGTTTGGTAAAGTAAATCCGTTGGGCATCTTTCTTTGCCTTTAGACAATAATTCTGATGGCAAAAGAGCCAAACGGGACAGGCCAAAAAAAAAAAAAAAAAAAAAAAAAAAAAAAAAAAAAGAAGTAATTCAAAAGTGTGCCAAAACTTTAATGACCTGGATCAAATTACTTCCTCAAGTCCTCTGTGAGATTAGAATGACTCCATCTGCAGTAACCAAATTATCTCCATTTGAAATAAGACCGTTTCCAACACCATGGTCAGCTTCCAGAGGGGCACCGCTATAGGAAGGTGATGTATATTGCATTGTCCGACTATGTTCACAATCTGGTAGAAACACTGAATAATAACTATCAGAAAGTTTGTCTCTCTCAGCCTCTCCCCTCCACAGTTCCACCAGTGGAGACCAGGAGATGCGGTGTTGGTGAAGCCGCTAAAACCAAGGACACTCTGGGAGGCCGCGCATTTTCCAGCCCCCAGGCTGTACTGGCAGTGACGAGAACCAGCATCCTTACGGACGGACAACCTCAGTGGATTCATGCCAGCAGGGTTAAGACCAGCCCAATCGGACCATCTCAGGCGTCAGATCAAGCAGACGACATCTCCGGCGGGCCAGCGCCCGGATCCAATGTACATACACACACGCAATTACTGATTAACACACAACGCCTGAAAGAGCCAAGGCTCAGAGCTCTTTGATCCTTCACGTGAACAAGAACAAGGTACTCAACATCCAGCAGGAACAGAAAGCTGAGAGTACCACATGATGTCTAATCTGATAAAGCTAGACTCATTCCATCCTGATCATGGAGGAAATGAAATGCCCATTGTCATCATACGACGCTTATTCTATGTCTCTCGAACCTGGGACCAGGCCAGAAGACGACTGAAGAACTGTTTTTCTTATATATTTAGGTTATTTATCATATCTATCGCATTAACTTTAGGATTTTTCTTTGCTATCTTGTATTGTAGACTGCAAGCATGTTCACATTTCTGCAGGTCATATTTTGCTGACAATACCTCATGCTCTATTTTGCAAGACACCTACTTAATACGCTCCTCACGTTCCCTAAAATCAGTAAATGACAACATAGACGCCACTAATAAACCATTTTATGCACCCCCTAGAGCAGGAGCTAACTCTTGGTATGAAAATGCTAGAACAGCTGCTCGTGATTTAGGAAACAGTAACTGTTATGTCTGTTCAAAGGGTAACCCAGAACAGGTTATAGTAGGATACCCCATATCCGGTTTCCCCCTCACTGAGGGACTAGAGAAAATCGGCGGAGATAATGCTCTCCTTAAAGACACTTTACAGTTGACTCTGAGCCCTCTCGACTGCCTACTTAGACACACACACACACCAACTAACCCTGAGACTCCATTAGGCGAATTATTGAAGTTATCTAATGACACCGCAGGGACCTGCGCCCCAATGAAACGCCCCAAGAATAGGTTAAAGCCCTCACTACCCCTAGGACAGATCCCTTTCCATTTTAATACTAGTATGATATGTCTGCGCAGACTAAAGTTAACTGGCCCAGACACCCACATAGATTATACAAAGGATAACTACACATTTTTCTCTGACTCCCCAGGTGCACGCTGTAATGAGACATGGCTAGCTGTCTCTGTGGCTGAAGTTGTATCATATCTGGAGGAACACACACACAGTTCAAGTTCGAGCGGAGAATCGATCATTGTTCCCCCAGAGGGTGTCTTAAATGATACTGACTGGGGGGAGTTAGTTAGATCACACATGGTCACGCGCCTAACTAGAGCAATCCCTAATGGTTATTGGATGTGCAATAATACCCTTAGATTAGCTTTACCTGTTAATTGGACCGGTACCTGTGGTCTAGTGACCGTTGATGTATGCTGTACTTTCATTCCCAATAATACCGCCCCTAACGGTTCATTCACACAAGCTATGAATAGACTTGAAGCATTGCAGATAGAACTAATTGCCAATACAGGCCACGGTCAGTGGCTAGATAAGTGGCTACAGGACACGTTTGGAAAATGGAAGGAACTAATTGTAGCCTTTGTAACCGTTGCAGCATGTTTTCGATGATTATTGTCTGTTGTGTGATACCATGTATACACTCTCAGAATTTTTGATATTAAGCTTGCTCGAAGGACCAGTTACATTTATGATTTGTTTTACGTTTATGATTTGTCTTTAGATTATGTTATTACATTCTGTCTTTATACTATGTTATCATTTCATGATAAAAGGGGGGAACTGTTGTGATATTTTGATACCATGGTAGCATTTACAGGATATTGTTTTGTAGTGATATTATACAGAAAAGAGTTACTCAATAAGGCCCATTTACTAGTTGTTTTTCTCTTTCTCTCTGACCCAAGAATTGATGTGTAAGAATCACAGGCTGGTACCCCAAGGTCGAAAATACCACAGAGACGAGACCACTTCCTTACTCCCATCCTCCCTTCCTTATCTTTTAGAAAAGAGCTTGTTAAAAAGCCAGGTGGTTTGTTTCAGAATTTTACTAATGAAAGAACTCTGTATTCTATGTCTAGGAGTGTATTTTGCTGGGATGATCATAAAATGTAGCTGAACTGATAAACTACACAAAGGATACTTCTTTGCTCACAAGGCAGGAAGACGTTTCCTTATTTGGTCTGTACCGGTTTGAACTGAGAACCTGCTGACACACGAACCTTTTTCCTCTATATAAGCTGTTGTGTACTTAATAAACCTTTGAGTTGATTATGGGAAAGCAACCTGAAGCAGTCTGTGTTTCCTTGTTCTCCCAAGCTACTCCCGGCGCTGTAACTAACCCGCTGAACGGCATACTTGAGTGTTACTTTGAATAATTAGGAATCTTATACGGAAAGGACAGAACTCTGCTTATCGCTCACGCCACGGAGGAAACCCGGGATGGAAATTTCCTTCACCTATATTTTTTATTTGTTTTTCACTCATTCTCTTGTAGCTTTGCTGGGATCACTGCTCTCTTGCATGATTCAATTTAGCCAATTTTAGTTGTTGGATAAATGGTCTCATATTTGATTCTAGAATGCTTTGGTATATAGAGGAGTTAATGGTCAACTCAATGACTGCAAGGTGCCCAGGCTCTGCAAAACGAGCACAAATCATTACCGCTCTACCACCTTGCATGACAGTTGGTGTGAGGTGTTTGTGCTGATATAATTTCTTTTGTTTTTGCCAAATATTCTCCACTTTGGTCTCATCTTTGAAAAGAATATACTTCCAGGAATCTTGGGTTTTTTCAGATGTATTTGCAAATTTTGCTACCATATTTTATTAGAGAACTGAGACATTTTTCTGGCAAACCTTCCAAGCAAAGCCATACTTGTTCAGTATTTTTTTATTTGTACTGTCATCAACTTTAACATTGAACATGGTAACTAAGGCCTGTAGAGTCTGAAATGTAACTCTTCGGTTTTTGGCAACTTCTGTAATCCTGGGAATATTGGCACTTGGCACTATAGATTCATGAAGTTCAAATTGCTTGCTTTAAAATGTATACATGCCTTACAACTCTTCTGAGATTGACGAATAGTAAAGTTGTTTCTCCAGTATCTTTACTAACTTCTATCTTTACTATCTTTCCCCCTTGCCTCTGTGTTAACACACACCTGAATGATCCAGACTAGAAAACTGCCAAAACTGCCAGTGATCACTGCAGTGTAGTTTATTAGCAGCACCAGTTGGTATTAAACCTTTTAATTTCCATGGAAAACATGATTTAGTGTCATTCATCTGAGGTTGTATTTAAAGGGCAAATAAAACATAAAAGACACAAAAGAATAAGTTACTGCTACCGAAGATGCTGAAGAGGCTAACTCTTTTTCTGTTTATTAGGCCAGGAAAACTGGACTTAACTGGGTTACTGAGTATGTGCATATACATTTGAGTCCAATGCTCTACTGAGAAGTATGTGTCATATATTTTCCATTTCATTACTTTTACAGGAACCAACTAAATTTCATCACAGAAGAGCTAAAAAACCCAGTTAGGTAAAAACATGCCTTAAAGAAACTCTAGTATTAGGCAATAATTTACAAGGCGTTGAATTTTTTTTAAATAAATTTTCTTTTGTTGATTAATTTCAGGACCTTACCACTGGCGATTGTTATTGGGATTCCTTTGGTTACTGTGTGCTATATTTTGGTCAATGTTGCTTACTTCACTGTTATGACCACAACTGAACTGCTTTTGTCTCCAGCGGTTGCTGTGGTAAGGATAACACTGGTCAATAAGCATCTTGCTACTGGGATTCACTCACCTATACTTTAACAAATGTTTACTTAGTGACTGCAAATCTGATAATCATTTTTATCTAGCTAGTAATATTAGTTTTTAAGTATGATGTTTCAAGTATTTGACAGTTGGATGGATGCAAACAACCAAGGAACTTTATTACAACACTGTCTGTAATAAAAGGAAGAGATTGTATTACTTTTTTGGTGGGAGATTGAAAATTAGACATAGTGATAAAAAATATTGATATTAAAGTGTCAAAATCAAGCTTCATATCTTGAATTACTCTAAAAACAAGTAGCAAATACAAATATCTTTTGTCAATCATTGAAAGTTAAAATAGCTGAGAGACGTTAATTTTTAAATTTAAATTCAGTCTGTAATAACTTATTACTGATATCAAATTTTAACAGACATAAATGAGAACATCCCTAGTTATTAATCCACATGTAATGCAGTATGCCTAAATTTTATTTATTTATGACAGTTGTAAATGAGCATAATAGCCCCTTGTTTTCATACCTTGACGTTAACGCCACAACACGGCAAATCTCCGTTAACGAGCTACCGCGGATCGCCCTGTGCGTGGGGCTGGACGGCGTCAACACGTTAACGAGGAAACTGCGCTAACGCAGTAGTTCCCACCCATGTAATTGAGCATTGCCTGGCACATCCGACATACTGTTTTACTTTTGTCCATGACGCGCTTACCTTCAGGGTCATACTTCACATGAAGACCAAAATAGTTTCAAAGGCCAGATCTGAATGAGGGTGGGGAGGTTCAATAAACCATGTTGCAACGAGCTTAGCTTCTGTCTTGCTAGCTTTTTCTGCGCACAGTGGATCTGCGCTCGACAGTGCAGCCTAGGCAGAGTAGTCGAACGCAGATCCACTGAGCACTCAACACAGACAGCGTCGTCAGAAGAAAAGTTGATAAAATAAATTAAAAATTTTGTATTGTTCGATACATATGTGTACCGAACCGAAAGCACTGTATTGAACGGTTCAATATCGATACGAGTATCTATCTATTGCTCAGAGTGATTGCTCAATGCTGAGATGAACAATCACTATACAAGCAATTGTTTTATTTAGCCACACTGCAAAATGCTTTTTATTTGGTCAAAGGTCACTTCATGTTGGGATTCTATTGGGATTCTCAGTGAATCGGTTTGAATCAGCACTTGAGCAAAGGGAATTGTAAACATTTTAACTGTGTTGTAACAGACAGAAGCACATGAAGACCTTGCATATGTCTAACTTTTCTTGTTGTTCCCAAACATCAAAGATTTGTAAACGTTTGTGCATTAATTTTTAACAATGCTTCTCCCCTGAGTTATACTGTAATGAGGCTATTGTGTTTACATGATGGTTTATGAAATTATTAATCTTATTGGTCATGAAATACACATAAAAATAAAATGTTTGTGATTACAGCAAATAACCGTTCTGGTCTTTTTCATCTGTTTGCTACTTTAACTAACTGCTTAAATATGCTCTGATATGGTCTTTTTCATAATTGCAGTTGGATGGATAGCAAACAGTGATTCTAAGATATAGTCGCCTTTAATTAATAGAAGTACTTCTACTTGGATGTGTTTACGCCTACTTGACGGTGTACAACGATCCTGAGCGATGAAGCGAAGATTTCCACTTTTGACACATCAGATGGTCATGAAAAAGTGTTTCTTTCTTTCAGGTCCATGTGCATAAATTAATAAATGTATTTTGATAGGAAAAATATGCTAGGTAAAACATGCTTGTACTGGGTTGGGCCCACTTTGGCATTAAGAACTCTTCATGGAATAGATTCAATAAGGTGCTGTAAACATTCCACTCCATATTGACATGATCATATCAGACAGTTGTTGCAGATTTGATGGCTGCACATCCATGATGCAAATCTCCTCTTCAGCAACATACTGAATGTGCTCTACTGGATTGAGATTTGGTAACTGTGGAGGCCATTTGAGTACAGTGAACTCATCATCATGCTCAAGAAACCAGTTTGAAGTGATCTGCAAAACGTTCAGCAATAATAACTAGGTAACTGGTACCCAGGTGGTGTTTAAATGATGCTTCGTGGGTATGAAGGGATCCAAAGTGTGCCAAGAAAATATCTCCACAGCATGTGGGCTTTATGTCAGAAGCATGTATTCTGTATAGAGAAATGGCAGAAAGTTGTAATTTAACCACAAACAATGATCTTTTCTCAAAAGCCAAGTCCTTTAATAGCTTTAATGCATAACATTAACAACATTTTAATGTCTAAACCAAATGATTCCCTCCTCCAAAGTCCAAATGTCTCTCAAAAGAGGTATTTTATTTTGTGTACGCAGACACTGATCAGTACATAGATCAGTATCTATGCAGAGCCAACTGATAAGGAATTGTTTTCCAGGACGTGAAAGTAATGTTGAGGAAAGCCAAAAATAACAAAACTTTGATTCCAGGAATTGATAGATGAAAGGTTATGGCTATTTCAAGGGAAAGCAGTCAAACAAGCACCTTGTGAATTATTACATGGATAGAATGCCAGTAACAACACTAAGAACTATCACTTTATGCCAATGAATTACAAAATCAAGTATCCTAACATTCATTGTCAATCATTAGCAGACTGCAGAGTGACTGGCCTGTCTCCACTTAATTGTCCACCAGATGTCAGTACAGCACCAATATGTTTATATAACTAAAACTATAGAGAGGGTCTGTGTCATCACACTAATACGCCTCATATGCATTATGTATACTGAATAATTCCACTAATTTTGTGTGTTTGAAATATTGGGAGTAGAATCAGCTGCACAGTTGGATTAATAGTGAAAAGAGTGAGGAATGGTACATGTCCTTGTTAATGATATTTTAATAATTGATAAAAAAAAAAGTAGTGATTAGAGATAAAAGGAAGTGGACATCTAAGTTAAAGGCGTTTCTTACTAATGAGGTATGAATTACTTGAAAGAACAGCCGCATGCAGAAACTTAGTTTGGTCTTTGTTGCCCTCTACTGGCCAACATTGTCCTGTTTTTTGGTGTAAATTTTTTTATTTTTTTTCTTCCAGAAGGGCCGGTAAATCTGAATTGGCTCTGGACGGTAGACATTTGCAGGGAAGCTGATAACTAACTTCTGCCAAAACGGGTTGGAACTGACTGTAGGATCAGCATGCTGGTTGTGTAGCCCGCTGTATTTGGCTCTGTTTAAATGCACATGTTACAGCAGGATGTTATCCTGCAGAATCAACTCAACAGGTTCCACATAAAGAGAAATAAATGTTGACAAAACACATGGCTCTACTGGAAATAGATAAGATTATGATTCAGTGCACATCGCCATTAAATAGAACTTAACAGGCTTATTCCATCATATATTTTCTTCCTCAATTTAGGGGATGAAAATTTGAACTAAGCAGAGACGAGCAGTTACGTTGTGTTTCATCACTCTTTAATGGGCATGGGGTCCCAGAGTGAAAGAAACAACATTTTTCATTTGGGTAATGGGCAGAGAAAGTAAAGCTGACCAATCTGAATTCAGAATAAGTTCTGCCTTTATGTAGTGTTAGTGAGCTTGAAATGGTGCTGACGTTTGAGCGGTGTTTAGGGATTCGACGCCATTAAAGAATGGGTCAAGTGACATCAAGAGTCATCCATACTACACTCCCTCAAATAACACAAAGATTTGATTTGTGGTTCTGTTGTATATGTGCAACTGACAAAACAAAGCATCATTTATCATGATGGCAAGGTGGCTAGACACATTAAGCAGTTTACTTCTCAGTGTAAAGTCATGAATACAAGTCTTCTAAAAAGATCAAATGCATACAAATTGTGTTTTACTGCTTTGACATTGTCGTATGTCCAGCAGACAAAAGCACAATTAATTGACATTTTGTATTTTTAGAATAATTGGCACGTCATGAAATGGAAAAATATGACAAAGAAGACCCAAGACTGTTGATCAGCTAAAAGACAAGATACAGATGAGAATGGGACAACAGTCCTCTCCCAAAGTCCAGTTCTCCTCATTTACAGACTGTTTTTAAAAGATGAAGGGCTACCATGCAATGGTATATCTCTCCCAGCTTTTTTGAGATGTGTTGCCAGGAAATTCAAAATTAGCCATTTTTGTCTTGAAATCTAACTTTTTTCAGAGTTGGGATTGTAGGGGAGAAAAACCCCAACAAAAACAAAAAAGCAAAATGTACCCTTTTCTTCTATTATAAAAGGACTACAAAGATATACACTGCTGGTTAAAAGTTTTAGAACTCCCCAATTTTTTCAGTTATTTATTGTAATTCAAGTCATTTAAGTCCAATGAAAAGCCTGAAATGGTACAAAGGTAAGTGGTGAGCTGCCAGAGGTTAAAAAAAAGGTTAAGGCTACCCAAAACTGAATAATAATGTACATTTCAGAATTATACAAAAAGGCCTTTTTCAGGGAACACAAAATGGGTTAACAATTTAAAGCTGTTCTCCAGCAGTGGAGGTTGATCAAGCCTTGAAAGCTGGTGCTACTAATTCCTACAGATGTTCCAACTTTTCTAGTTTACCTACAACCCCCTCTGTCTGCATAAAAGCAGTGAACACACTGTGGTACCATACCCTCATGAGCATCAGTTGAACAGTATTGTACTGCAGTGCAGGTAGTGAGTAGCTACAAAAATGGCAAAAAAAAGGGCAATTAACAATGGAAAGAGACATTGTCTCTCTTCCATAACATGTAAAAATGAACATCTTTCCTTCAGACACATTGCAAAGAAAGTCAAAGTGTCAGTGAGTACAGTTTCCTTCACCATCAAAAGGCACTCAGAATCTGGGGTACACTCTCACAGGAAGACATCCGACAGACCCAAAGAAATAACTGAATCAAAGGACAAGTTTCTGTGAGTTAACAGCTTGCGTGATAGGCGGCTCACAGGACAACAGCTTCAAGTACAGCTTAATAGTGGTCATAGGAAGCAAGTCTTAGTTTCAACTGTGAAGAGAAGACTTCAAGCTACAGGTTTGACAGGACAAATTGCAGCAAGAAAGCCATTGCTAAGACGACAGAATAAGACAAAGAGGCTTGCCTCGGTCATGAAACGCTGCCATCGGACTACTGAAGACTGGAAGAAGGTATTATGGACTGATGAGTCAAAACTTGAAATCTTTGGTTCATCACTCAGGATCTTTATATGCTGTCGAGTAGGCGAAAAGATGGTTACATAGTGTGTGGTCAACTGTCAAACACAGAGAAGGAAGTGTGATGGTTTGTGGCTGTTTTGCTGGATCCAGAGTGAGAGGCACCCTGAACCAAACGGCTACTACAGCATTCTGCAGGGCCATGGAGTACTCTCTGATATGCGCCTAGTTGGTCAGGGGTTCATCCTGCAGTAAGATAATGACCCAAAACATAAGTCGCAGCTATGCCAGAACTATATCAGGAAATAAGAACAAGATGGTAAACTTGAAAACATGGAGTGGCCAAAAACAGTCTCCAGACATAAACCCCATCGAGCTGGTTTGGGATGAACCGGACAGAAGAGTGAAAGCTAGCTATTTTGATGAGTCCAAAATTTCGAATACATTTTGGTCTATAAATTGATTTCAGGTTTTCTTTTTTGACTCCAATTGCTTATTTGTAGTATGCTTTCATTTCAGAGTGCAATGAGACATTAAACTGCATAACCGTCAATAAAAACCTGTAACAAATTGGAGTGTTGATATTTATCAAAAACCAATTTTAGTCTCTTTGAAGGAAGTGCCAATATATTAGACATTTAAAACATAGTAGAGAGACCCAAGATTGTATTCATAAGGGGAGATAAGTAAAATAGCTGAAAACCTTAAATTCTATCGGTGTATTGACTTTTAGATTTTTTTTTTTTAAATTAAGTAAAAAAAAATAATCCTGCATTAAAATGTTGGGGAGTAGAAGGGTTATAAGACACAAAACAGGTACAACATTTTTTAAATTTTTACTTTTCACCCACTACATATAGCAGGCAAACAAATTAAAACTTCAGCACACTGGAATGTGGTGTTTTGGTTCCATTGTGGGGATAAAAAAAAGCTGTAGTTCCACCTAAAGTAGGGCACCTGATCACTGTACAACTCTTTGTACCTTTTGAACAATCACATTGAGCGACATATTTTTTCTTGTACTCATGGAAAAAATGGGATAGCTCAAACTCTGTGCAGATAAAAAAAAAAAAGGGTTTCTCTGGTCCTGCAAACTTGTAGTGATATATTCAAGTGCAGTTTCTTCAGTCTGTTAATTGCCGACTATGGCATGTCTTAATCAAACTTTGCATTAGTCCTGTGATAGATTGATTGAACATTAATATGCCAAAAAGTCTGATGAAATTGAATGTGCACCCTTATATACACAAGTCTGGTGCATAGACATTCAACTGCCAGCACACACACACACACACACACATTGCACTCAAATATCATCTCATTAATGGATAGACAGCTCTGATGAGAACTCATCTGCATATCATTATCATCACATTACTGTGCTTTTCCAATCAGTTACTGAATTAGCATTTGGATTAGAACCTCGCAATCATCCAGCGACCTTTCGAAAAACTACATTATAATGTGTTGCTAATGAACATATGCTACAAATGAAGTCTGTGCTTGTTCTGAAGGCTTTTGGATTATCAGAAATAATACTTTATGAATTTGGGGAGAAAAGTATTTGGTTGCTTATTTTAATATTAAAACGTTTTGAGTTTAAATTTCCTAGCCCACCGTTTATCTGACATTCATAATATCTGGCTTGACTTATTCACTATGTTCACAGAGTATTTTGTGATGTTCAATGTGGCTTAATGGTTAGATCCGAGGTAATGTCCAAGTTTAACTCTGAAGCGCCTCTAGAACATGCACTCAGCTCACTTATTTGGGCACCTAAGGGCAGAGAAAAGTCATGGTGAAATTTAACTTTGCTGAAGAGTCCAAACACAGAAGCCAGAGAAGCACTGAAATAGAACCAAGTATCACTTAAACTGCCAGCATAGGAGTCTATTATGTCAACATGACCTGTTTTCCTCCATTGGAGGGCACACTTGAATAAACAGAAGCAGTGAAGGGAACCCAAACCACAACATGCACATGCCGACCTTTTTACATATGTCTATTTACATTTGAACACATCCCTGTAGATTTGTGACTTATCCCCACCTGGCACTGCTCCCAGAAATTTTCTGGGACTGTGTTTTAATGTTAAGAACATAGTTTTAAGAACAAGATATTCATTTTAATTATTAGGTTTCAAATGATTATTCTCTTACAAATGTCCCTTTAATAGCTTTGCTTAATAGCCTTTCACTTGTCATCATGGATGTCTTTCTTTTTTTCCCATCCTGCTGCCGATTTCTTACAAGTGTCATTTCTTAATTTTGCAGTTTAACAGCACAAGTACCTAAGATTATTACATCCAGTGAATCAACTCAGTCATGTCAGATACAGTAATATCAGTAATTAGGTTTGATCATTTTAGCAGCCATACATTATGTTACCAATCACGTGAGACTCTTACAGTCTACTGAAATGATCAAGTGTTTGTTTTATATCTTTTACATTGAGGCTGTAGTTTGAATGTCAGGTACTGTAACAAGGGTCCAAAAGTAAAATATATTTCACATTGCTAATGAGCCTTACAAAAAAGATGCCCCCAGAACAGCTTTAATATATCTTGGCATGATTGTCAGGAGCACAGATCTTCTATAGGGTTTTCCCACATTTGTTGTTTTAATGATGCTGTTAGACAGTGCTGTCAGTCCAAAATCTCCCATAAGTGCTTAGCATATGATTCATTTTCATACCTCTTCTGACCTATAGATGGGAACCTTGCATTCCCATCAGGCTATAAATCTTTAACCCCATGATAAAGGTGATCAGCAACTTTATATTGATTTTAAGTGACCCTTTCCGTAAGGAGCAAGCAGACCCAAACATAAGCAGCAAAATACCCCTGAAAGCACAACAGGGTGTGGTTTGACTAATTTTTTAGTCCAACTGTATGTAAGTAGTCCTAAAAAAAAGTCAGAACTAAATTGAAATTGAAATATCTGTTTTGTAATTATTTAAACTCTCTGGCACTCAGCATTGTTTTCACTCTGCACCACTTGGCATTTTGAGTTGCTTTTCACATGTTCATCATTCTTATCTCATAAATGCATGTTTTTTATTTGCTTCGTGCTTCATACGGTTTCTGCTGTAGATGGGAGTGCTGCTGTTAATCAGCTGTTAATGACACGAACTGACCTCTGCTTTCTCTGACAGCTCAACAGGGTCAAACGATTAAAAAAAACAATCACTAAGTGGAGAAACGATTGTGAGTTTGGGGATAGAAATGTGGTGCCAGCAGAGAGACAATTGCCTCTCAACTTATTTTTTTCATACTGCTATGTCTTATCTGTTTTTGCATGCAAGCTATTGTTCTTCCATCAATATAAGAAGACGACAGTGGATAAGATGGGTAAGATGGATAGCCTAACTGTTTTTTCCACTGTGCTCTCCTCTTCTGAGATTTCTTAGCTCCTATTCCTATCATGATCTCTCTCTGTGCACTTTCTCACACGTCCCTTTTCTCTCCCCGTTTTTCTAGCAATGATTTTTTTTATTATATTTCCTTTGATCTTCCTCTTCCTCTCCAGTCGTTGCTCTGCTGAGGCTCTTCACTCACTTTAATTGAGCAACTTAAAGATCAGTGGCTGATGCTATCATGAGCAGTCACTCAAAGGTGAAACCACAGTTGATTATACTTTGAATATATATGCGTTAAAAATATTTGGAATAAACAGACATGTTTGCATGTTTATATTTTCCACATTTGTATGCACATAGCTGCGTTTGCTTCTGAAAGTGTCTGGGGTAGGGAGTGGAATTCAACATGTAAAAAGAAAAAAAAAAGTGGAAAGCTGCTTGCTAATTGTATTGCTGTGCATGCTCTCATTTTGCACCCACTGTAGTTTCTGTCTGTTTAGCAGCTCTTTGATCAACAGATGAGATAGTAGGAAGGCTGCCTATGCTGGATTCCCCGCCTGATACACGGGTGGCTTCACTACACATTCTGCACACAGTGGGAGGCTGGACTTTTAGTGTGTGTGTGTGTGTGTGTGTGTGTGTGTGTGTGTGTGTGTGTGTGTGTGTGTGTGTGTGTGTGTGTGCAGGCATAATAAATGTGTGTCAGAGACAGAAAAGGAAGGAGGAAGAGATATTTAACTAAAGAAAGACAGTAAGTGAAAGAGAGGAAAAGACACATAATAAGAAAAACAATTGTGGGGTGGGGGACTCGGATAGGTAGTGCGCATTGTTTTTACTGGCTGCCTGGCAGGGTCCTCTCTGATGTTTATCCTCGCTGTGTATACTTCTAAACACTGCCTACAGTCACCGCTGCTTCACAGCCAAGTTCTGATCTCTCAGCTTGTTGTCAAAGGTGTTTTTCCTCGTCTGTCAATGAGCATTTGTGCAGCTGAAAACTGCACATTGCTAAAAAGGCATTTGCACTCAGTGTCATTTGACCGACTTCAATCAGCACACAGCAAGTGCAATATATTACACTGCATTACCAAGTGTTTTGCAGAAAGTTCACCGCAAGGAATGATGTGACAGACTCACATTGAAATAATAGGAAGAGTGCGCCAGCTCTTTTTCACTACAGATCTTTAGTTAGTAGTGTTTGTGTCATTGCGCAATTATAAAACTTCCCCAAAACTTTGCAACTGTAAATATCACAGACAGACATCCCATAAAAGAACCAGTGTTCAAACTCAAGATGGTGCACAGTGCTTACGCAAATCAATAATGCTGTTGACTAAACTGTAATTGTGTTTTTTGATACACCCCTCACACTACAAGCTTAACAGGCTGTTTGTCTCCAGTCAGTAATAGCCAGCCTGCCTATCTGGGGATGTCATTAAAAGATAACAAAGACTCATTTATGTACAAATGTATTCACATAGATTTCCCATACAATCCATCTTGTAGAGGGCCTGTCTCTCATAATAGAAGTCATGAATCAACTCCCTTTATCGACACATGGGCTAATGCAAGTCCAGCTGGTTAATCAGCATATTGTTTAGGCAGTGATTTGTTACTATACCTATAAACAAAGATATTACATTGGTTACACAAGGGGTATGAAATTTGAGATATTAGATTATACTGGTTTACCCTCAACACATCTGTTTTCTTAACTACTTATCCAGTTCAGGGTCATGAGGGTGCTGGAGCCTGTCCCAGCTGTCATTGGTGAGATGCAGGGTATATCCTGGACAGGTTGCCCGTCTGTCACAGGGCTAACACAGAGAGTGACAGACAATCATTCACACTCACATTCCAAAAATTAGATGTACTGTAAAATTAATGAACCTTCACCTCTG